AGTTAGTTTTGGTATTTATGTATTTTTAGTCATTTGTATGTGTAGTTTTAGTCATAGTTTTATAAATATATAAATGAAAATGATGAATATACATACATATCGATAAAATAAAATACATAAATAAAATACATTAATAAATAAAATCCAACCAGATGACTTCGCCATGGGAAAACAAAGGGCGGAGGCTTTGATTATATACTCCTTTTATCAGATGAAAGTTAAACAAAATAGGTTTAAAAATTATTATGTAAATTTGTTTTATTTATTTTATTTAAATATATAATAATAATTGAAAGAACTAACAAAAATACTATTTAGTGCGTGACGTCATGGGTTTCATTTATTTTGTGTGGGACATAACATTTACTGATCAAATGACTAAAGTATTTTTTTAAATAATAATATTCCCCTGATCAAAAGGTGATGTAATAATATTTGTATTTTGTCTCCCATAGTTTCGTCAAAACTCCCTAGAAATTAACTGACAACACCGACTTATCAGACCAACCTACAAAGTAACGAATTAAAACATCGTGTTTCCATACAGCAATAGTGGTTAAATAACAAAACTTATTGATGAAAAGTGCTATTGGTGTAATTATACGGTTTTCTCACATAATTACGACACAATTTAACAGCACATACCGGCATAATTAATTATTTTCCGTGAGCACGTTATCCCTTAGTGATTCAAATGACACTGACGTAGGTGAGAAGCGACTCTACCAATTTTAGTAGACTTTATTTGGGCCGTTCTGTACGGACAATGTGGCATCTAGACATGTATATAATCAAAGTTATAGAATATTTTTGCCATTTTTATCAACGTATGAAAATTTATTTACATAATTAAACGTTCCCTGCGCACCCTCGCTTTGATTTGCAATGTCTGCACAGACTTGCTCGCCATTTGCATATTTTTCTTAACGCTTAATTAAAAGTCAAACGAGGCTTGCGTCTGAGTATCAAAGTATGATTTATTGACATAAACAAAGGTTTTTCCATGAAAACATAAAACAGATGACGTAATGAATATAATTTGTATTCTAGGTATTACAGAATTTAACTTGAAAGTTATAAAGTATTACAAATTAAATCTATAAACTTAAATCTATTGCTATCTGTATTTTTTATAGAATAAGGGTGACAAGCACCAGCACACAGTCCATCTGATGATAAGTGGATACTGTGGTCCACAAACATCTACATTTACCCTCGGTTAAGATTAAAATTGCAGATGCGCTGTCACCGCTGACGGCTAAGATAGAATGCCTCGTATCCAGTAAAAAGGGTTTCCGGTTCCTGCACTCACCATACGAAACACAGTAGCATTAAGCTACTGCTACTATTTTACGCTGGCATTCTGTGAGAGCTTGGTATCTGCCCGGTCAAGCCGACCCATTCGTGTTACCATAATATACGAGTAGCTGCAGCATAGCTCCACCACGTATGAAATTCCTTTTTATTACCATCAACAGCTTTTATGCATTGATTATTTTCTTTTTATTCCTTATACTATAGTTTTTTTTAATATAGGTAAAACAGCAACGTTCTCAATACCACGGTAATATTATCTATACAGTATTCCAACTTCATACAAACGGATGAAGCGAGAGCTATACCTACGCGCCTCGATCTCGGCATGCGCTCGGCATGCAGACAGTCGAGACTGTGCCGCAGTCATGATTTTGTGAAATATATAAAAAATGGAGGAAATAAATAATAGAATAGAAATAAAGAAATAATAAATCTGAACTTCATGTAAAAACAAACATATAAATTGTAAAGTAGCTGCAGGTATCTATAACCTATTAAAAGATATTCCTTTTCACCACGTTGTCCATGTTTCCCAAAACAATTTTTAATTTATATTAGAAAGCGGATTTTTTTATATTTAAAAATCTAAAAATAAAGCATTTCGTAAGTCTCAGCCGAGGTGCAAATATTTTTCGGTCGCAAATTTATTTAACCGATTTGTTATTCAAACATAAACATGGTTTTTTAATTAAATCTACCAATCAAAAAACGACACGCATTTTTATTGAATACTTCCTATTCAATTCACAAAGTACCTATTTTATTTGTTTATATAAAAAGTATATTTACAATCATAAAACTAAATGGAAACACAAAGTAGGCAAATGTAAAAATGCTGGAGGCAGGTAACCCTATCACATGTTTACGTGCCGCACGGCTGTAGGCATTTATTTGAAAGATACGGCCGAGTTACAATACTGTATAGATAATATTACCGTGTCAATACTGCGAAAGAATAGTACCTAAAATCTAAGGCAACTCAGAATCAATAAGCTTGAACACATGTGTTCGCTCGTCTTTCATCAATCGCTTTACAAAAAAATAGGACAATAGCTGCGTACAGCCTACAATCCCTTCCTATGTTTCTACTGGTTGTTATCTTAAATTAAATTTAAGATGGCATTTATATATGTACATTTTTGCAAATGTAATTACAAAGATATAAAATAACTTCCTATTATCACGGTCAGCTATGAATCAGTATGACGTGACGGCAGCAAGGAAACTAGTTGTCACAAGGATCTCTCGCAAATCTCTTCGTTTGTGAAATTAAATTTAACGTTCTCTACGTCTCGGAAGCTTAATTTATATTTGAATAAAACTACAATAAACTTATTCTACCCTTATTTCTTTCATTTTATAGCGTTGAATAAGATTTTTTTTGTGTGACAAACGAGCACCAGTCCACCTGAAGGTAAGTTGATGCTGTGACCTGTAGACATTTATCTTCACTTAAGAATCAAAATGCAAATGCGTTGTCACCCTTGAAGACTAAGATGAAATGCCTCGATTCCAGTAAAAAGTGTCTCCGGTTGTCTACGCTCACCATACGAAACACAGCGCATTACGCTGCATTTTAGGCCGGTACTCTGTGAGCGCGTGCTCTTGCCCTGGTCGAGACGACCAGACATCGTAATAATAAGACAATTATTTTGATTTCTGTGAAGAAGACCCATTCGTGCTACAACTATGACATAGTACTTACATTTTATAGCTACATAGAATACCAATTAACCAACTCAAATTCTTTATTCCATAACTTAATCTATTACATCATATGTGGCTGTAGCTTCCTTTTAAGCAAAGGATTTGCTTTTTTTGCACCCATGAGACCTTTGCGTCTTGTATTACTTCATTTTGTTTGGTATAAAAAACCATGGTTTTTAAAATCTATATAATTTCCAAAACTATACGTGTATAAATGCTATATTAACACTAAAGTCATTAAACTCCAACTATGAACATTTATAAAATAATACGGAAAGTATTAATTCATAGTGATTCCGGGTTTGCCGCTATGAGTAATACGGAGAATATGGAGGATGTGGGACAAGGCGTAACTTTCAGACTGCCGCATGAGTCACCAGCCCGGCCTAAATGTATTAATACTGGGGACACGCCTCCCTGGGATTCCGGATTAAAATAGTTCGGCTGTGCGTCGCGTGCCATAAATTTTAACTTGGTCTGTCTATTCTTGTTTTACTTAAATTACGAGTACAATGTAAAGTCTTTCATTTTTTTTACATAATCCATTATCATTATTATTACATATTCTATTATTAGGGTAAACAAAATATTAAAATTATATTTAGTACAATCAAGACAAAATTATCATAAATTTTTTCAGATTATTTTACAAACATTACCCTTTCTGAGAAATATAGGGCATAGAACCTTGTGATGTTTATTGATAGTTGGATGTCAGCAAGTGCTTCGAAAATTTATTATAAAGTTTGAGCCGGAAGTACATATAAGAAAACAAGATTTAAATCTATAAAGGGACAAAACCAAGTTTTAAAGTACCAGATGTTAATTCAATACAATAGTTTTGAAACCGACGCGCTTCCTTTCCTTTCCTTCGTTGTCGCTCGCCGCTGTCTGGTCACGTTTTGCTACCGGCGACGGCGACCACTAACAAATCCCGTTTTCACGGATTTAAATAAAATAGTTTTTTATTCTTTTCACTTTCAACAGGGTTGAGTATTTTTTTCAATTATACATTTTTGTAGAATTGTAAATTAACCGCCCGTCTTATATAGTCAAAAAATTTCGTTAAGTATGTTAGGTATAAACAACAATTGACAAATGAGCAGACCATAGAAAATAATCAAGATATAAAAAATATGTAGGTACTAATAATTTATCACGAGCTGTTAAATCTACTACCTACTAGGACTAAATTTGTACCACGACAATATATTATATAAAAGATAAAACAAGGCGAAGAATACAAATAAGTCTAATTACTTAATTGCTCGCAGGAATCGATCGTCCAGTAGACAAGTGTCTTTGAGTAGATACTTTCTAATATTCAAGAGCAGGGGAAAATAATTGAAGGTTTATTTTGCTATTAAAATTAATCGACACAAGATGTAAATGTTTAATAAATCAGGTGATAAAGGTGAATTTTAAACATTTTATTACTTTTTATGGAAGTCATAGTTCACACAACAGTTGAATACATCTATATCGTAATATAATAATATAACAGTTATTGTATAGGCTGTATAACTATTTATTGGAAACCTACATATAGATGAACTGTATGTCTTGTATATGCCCTAAAATTTATATATTGTCGTATTCATTCAACTTTTATCATCCCAATTCAAAATCCCATCTCTCAAATAAAGTTAACTTTGCTCTTTGGTAACTTGTAACGAATTTAAGTCAACAAGAGTGCGCAATCCTAATCGATATCTACTAGCAATCGTATTTCTTCACTCTTCTTACCTATACATATAAAAAGTTCTTCAATACACACACATTTCAAATTTTCTAATTAGACTAAATATCATTCAAATGACATGGTATATACGGTGGCACATTATTTTTTAATGTTATATTCCTTCTATCTTCTGTATCGGGAATGTAAACACACAATAATGTACTACATATTTAATAATTTACTAAACTTAGGAATAAAAAAACAAAACAAAATGGTAACGTCAAAACGCACTTACCACATGTACCACCAAAATCCACTGTGCAATCTGTTTCATTTTGGAAATCAATCTCTTGTTTGACGGCATTGTTCCAGACACCAATGCAATGGAATTCACAAATAGCACAAACTCATCAGCTTATCAAACGTTTCACTAGTAACATGCACACGTAGTTATCTACGAAGTACAAACTAAAACTTCCTAACTATACACTTCACACTTTCACATGCACTTGTTTCTGATTTCAAAATTAGCTAATCTTGTTCATATGTTCTTGTTCGCGTTAATATGAGCGTTTGGCAGTTAAATCCTGCGTTTTAAACGCTTAAAACTGTTCTGTTGCTTACTTGACGAGTCCCGCTGTAGACTGACAAACTAACAATCAACACGCTCAAACACAATACGCGAATGTGTAAAACGGTGACTCATCGCCCCGCATACTGTTTACCGAGGTTGAGTCATCACGCGTTCGAAACATATACTTGAAGCAGTACAGCGCTGTATTAAGTAGAATAACGGAGACAGAAACAAAAATCGAAATAAATTTCAAGCGCTTTAATGCTTTATTATATAAACCCAACTCCATTAATACCTTGTCGACTCCGCACGTGTCCACTGGTTAGTTTTACTATTTTAAGCTCTACAACTCTAACAATAAAGTATATTAAATAATAGTATGAAGTAGTATCTAAACGCAGCAAAACTAGTACGTTTCGAAGTCGAAGTGGTCGAAGAGAGTTGTTTTAAATTACGGCACTTGACGAGGCCGTTTTGAGGTCGTTTGATATACTTTAGTAAATATATTTATTTACACAACAAGAAATTTTGAATGCCCCAATTACAGATCGGATTTTTTAAGTGATCAAGCACTCTTAACACAGATATAGGTATCAATAAAAACATAACTATTATATTACAGTAGTGTAGTACAGTAGTGCATTTTGAATTTTTCTCAAATATGATATACTACTTAACCTCTCTGGGTGGATTATTCATTACATTCAGGATTCATTTTCCGCTGGAAGGGCCTCCAGGAGTGGGAAGACAACGTCCAACTAGCGTTGCAAGCTGATAATAATGCGTTTATCTGTTAAGCTGATATAGTGAATGGTTGTCTTCAAAATGCAACGTCTGCTTGACTTGCTACCGTCATCCTTTGATGATTTGTCGATGGGAAGGCGGCCGCTCTACCGATCATACACAAAAAGCCACCAACACTCAGGTCAAGATGAAGATGTAGAGAATAGTACGACCGTCACATGTTTTTGTGCCACATACTGCGCGCTCGCGTCAAAACTGCCAACAAGGAAGAAACTGGCAATATATAAAACCTACACTCGCATACAGCGTAAACACAGCATAGAATATACAGCAAAGAATGCGACTAAAACCCAAAAGCATTTAGCAAGGAAGAAAAAGAGGAAGCCCGGGCCATGGGGAAAACCTCGATACCTATCGGAGCACTAGTACCCCTCGGATGTTAAGAACGAAAGAACATCAGTGTGATTCGGTCTGAAGGGATATGAATAGCGAATTTAATTACATGCTGTGAGGAATTCCATCTTAGTCCTCAGTGGAGACAAGAACATATAGCTTTTTTTGTTTTGAAATTATTTCATATTAATAAGCGTACCTAACTATGCTAGGAGATTTTAATGGAAAGTTTGGGATGAAGAAAACTTGAGTGAATATAAATGGAAATGGAGAAAAACTTCTTGCAGTATTTTAAAATAGAAATATTTTTGTAACGAACATTTTCTTTCGTTATAAAAGGTCTTATAGTTTAGGTCTTTAGCTATGAAATTGCCGTTTTTATGAAATAAGATAACGTAATTATTTTCTATATATTTTATTTCCATTGATTAAAGTAATCACCCGTGCAATCGATCCATCTTTGCCAACGCAGTGATAGGTTATTGATGCCCTTCTTGAACAAATCAGCTGGACGGGAGGCAACAAATTCTTCAAAGGAATTTTGTGCTTGCCTCTCGGGAACTGAATTTTTTTTCTACCAAAAAGTCATCCAAATTCTGGTAAAAGTAGAAGTCTGCAGGTGCAAGGTGTGGTGACTACGGTGGATGACAAATATCTTCTAAGCCCAGCTCTTGTAACTTAGAGTATGAGGTCGCGTGTTGTCGTGCAGGAAAAGCGGGGATGAGCGATTGAGTAAAGCTGGTTAAAGACGCACATGCTTCTTAATCATTGTGTTCAGTTCTGCACAGTACACATCTGCAGTAATACTTATCCCATTTGGCAAGAAGCTGTAATGAATCACACCGACTCTAGACCACCATGGTCAATAATTTTCTAGGAGTAAGTTTTCGTTTAGGACATAGGTGCTGAAACATGATCCAACCAACTTGCTGAGCGCTTGCGATTGTCGAACAAAATCCATTTTCTGGTTCAAAATTCCGTCGTATGTGTGCCTGTTAAGTAGTGCAAGGCACGTCTCGACGCTTACTTCACGCTGGCGATTATTGAGTTCGTGGGGCACCCATTTGTCAAGTTTTTTTTTACCTCTCTAATTTAACGCAAATGGAACAATATTGTTTTGATCCTAACTTCTGCTAATTAAGCCGTTGATTGAGTATCATCAGTTTTCACAATCGTTTTTAATTTATCATTGTCGACCAAAGTTTTCGGAAGACCCCGGGGTTCATTTTTCAGTTCGAAATTTACAGAATGGAAGTGGGCAAATCAATAACAGGTGGTGCGTTCGTTTGTAGTTACCGCCGTTGATGTTGCTTGCGGTTGTGCCGCGTTGTTGCCACAACAGTACTCATATTACGTAATTATTCGATTTTTTTAACGTGATAACGAAAACGATTCCAATGCGATTAAAAGTGAAAATATAACGCTCATCAATAAACAAATGACTAGTATTGAATGAAAATAAAATTAGAAAATGAAATTAGAATTTCTAAGCCATACAAAAATTATATTGATTTGAAATTCTACTGCTACTACTGCAGAACGGCAATTTGATAGGTAAATATCTATTATAAACATGGGAAATAGGAAAAGATAGAAGCATGATATATTTCATAAATTTAATTTGGAAAACGAAAAACGCAATGCTTGATTCAAGGTTTCAACAGAGTTCCAGCGTACGGATGGATCGATCGTCTGTTCAGGGATTGGTTGGCATCGGATATCTGTGGCTACCACTTCGTTACAGGTAAAAAATAGAAAGGTGGGTGGAGTAAATAGTGGTTTGGATTAATTTTGTATGAAAGATTCGGACTTAGATATAGTGTGAGTAAAGTTATTCGAGGTTTGATGGATACAGCAACCAAAGTTTGAGGCAGGTATAGCCAAAATTATGAATGACAAATAATAACATGTTATGATGGCATAATAAGATACGAATGGAACTTGAAGCAAAGAAGGGAGCTTGGCTAGATGTGCCAGCGACTAAAACTGGCAACTATAGCTGTAGGTATAGGTGATGAGATAAAAAGTAAATAGGCAAATTTAACACATCTAAATAAAAAAGTAAAAGAAGTAATAGAAAAGCAACAAAAGAAAAAGGAACGGATTCCGATCCACATAGTTACAACAGTTACACAACAAAAGTTAAATTTTAATCTATGGTAACCGCGGTTAACTATGACATCTGGACATTGAACATCTCAGTCCCGCCCGTGACCATGAGTGCTGTAAAGCGTTCGAAACGTCGGGTATTTAAAAAGTTAAATATACGCGATAAATTCCGTAAAAACTAGTATTATTTCAATGTGTAGTGTTCGCGTAAATATAAGAAATCATTCTGTACAAACTTAACCAGGCAAATATTAAAATGTTCTAAAAACGCATTAGAACTGCGAGGAGAAAATTAGAACAATAAAACTTTCTGTTTTACCCCTTTAACTGGAAACGAGGCATTAGATTTTAGTGCTTAGGGGTCAAAGTGCCTTTTGATTCTTTTTGAGATGTGTATGGGCCACAACATTCACTTACCATCGGGTGGAATGTTCGTTTGTCATCCTTATTGTATAAAAAGTAGTAGTATGTTAGGGGTGATATATTGATAGGGTGAGAAATTCTGTGATAAGAGAAAAGTGTGGTAGCAAGAAAATATTGTGACCAGGATAGAGAAAGACATGCAATAAATCTTTCTATGTGTGCAACAAAAATGAAGGACGAAAGAGTGACAAAGCAAATTCAGCGGCCGTAGTGAGTCGGCAAAGGACACCCTACACGGAAGTTCTCATACAAATTAGCAACTGATTTCTGATGTTAATCCTGTTAGTCTTTTGGCTTTTACAGCTTCATAGAGCTCAGGGCACCTTTGAAGACTAACACGTATCGTTCGATGTTCTGGGCGGTGAGAGACGTCCAGGGACGCGGGTGTACGGTGTGTACGCGTTGTGGAGGGGTGTACGTCGCGTCCGTCTGAGACTCGCTGTGTCCCATCCGTTGTTCTGACAGTGTTTGTGGCACTAGGTGAATATGTAGTGTCTGTGTGTGACGGGCTGGCGACATTTCTGTCGTCGGAATCTGGGGGTTCAATTAAAACGTTACGGGGCCTCCGTAGGCTTTGCTTAACGTGGAGGAGCGTAGTTTACTGTGTTTACCACTAGCGCGTTGAGATGTGTCTCAGCGCTCTCAAAGTGGCGCTGAGGTACTTCCTTGAAACATTCAGAGATCGTCGGAAGTTGGTCCAAGTTGATCCAAGTTATACATTGAAGATGTATGAAGAGCTAATTGAAAGAGTAACCTTTCCGACCAGCATTTAGGCGTAGATATTTAATGATGTGAAACAAGCGAGTGAGGTGTGTCAGGATCGTAGCAAATGGTAGTCCATAGTTTTTCAGTTGGTTGCTGGTAGCTATTGCTTACAGTTGTCACTTACCGTCAGATTGGACCGTTAGTTCATTTTTCACTTTGGTTTTTTTGCAAAAAGGGCATGTAAATACATATATCTTCATAAAATCATTGTTGTTTTTCTCTTTAAAAAATACAATGTAAAAGTTTATGTTTCTTGATCAAAATTTGCAATCGATAAATTTTGCGCTACGCATGAACGTATATAATACGTTCATGACGCTGCATAA